GGCGGACGTAGAGCATCGCTGTTCGATGTGCTTGGACATATGTGCACCGAGTTATGTGCACCACTGATGCTTTGGCCTGAGAAGTTATCGCCATACAAGAGAGCGAGAAAACGGGGCGCAAATTGTCACGTTTGGAAAAAAATAGTTACGCTGCCGACACTAAATGCACGGCTACTCACCCATGGTTCTCGGTCAAATAATGCCGCAAATGGCAGAGAGCTTCTTCTTCATCTTCTTCCACTGAGAGTCGGCAATTTGCACGAGGATTAACTGTGCTATGGTTTGTTTGTTTTTTTCCTAAAACAACTTGGCTCACACCCACAAGGAAGATTGGCCACACTGTAATTTTATAAAGAAAATTCAGATTAAATACATTCATCTCCCGAAGACGGAGCTCAAGAGTTCGCCAAGTTTTTACTTCGTTGTTTAAAGTAGGTTTTGGTCTAAGTTAGTAAATTGGAATAACCAATTCTTATCAATGGTTTATTTTTCTCATAATGCAAACAAATTTTCTGTGTGCAGTTATTTTTTACTATTCGCTTGATGTCTGCTTTACCAAAGTCGGTTTGAGCTAATTATGTAGAAGTTCAAGTTTAAGTTTTAGTATTAGCGTCCATTCCTTTGAACTATTAGTTACTTACCTACTTTATTCGTAAGTCACCTTATGATTATCCACTCTTATATTCTCCCGTTGACTGAATATTTAATTTACATTCTTCAAAATTTACCAATTCGTTTTCTTCATTAAAATACCCGCTGGTTTAATGGCCAATCCCTCATAGTGGGTACGAGCCAAAGCACATAGCAACAAGCAAGCATCTTGAATTGGGTTAGTTGGTGCGTACTGATTCTGAACAAAAAAACAACGCTGCAACAATACGGAGAAAGTCAAAGATAGTGGAATACTATGCGTTTATGCAGAGCAACGCAACGTGAAATCTTGAGAGCTTTTTGCACCCAGAAAAATAGAGAAAGTTGGGTCAGCATAGCGTTACTAACGCATCGCAAAAACAAAATGTCGAATATTTCGAAAACAGAATTTCGCATTCTTACACCGAAATCTTGTTTCCATAGATGTATAATAATTGTGTTGTTTCTTATGTACGTATAGTGAGGTGCAAAAGCAGTCGAACATGGTCGAAGAGCAGTGCTTTTGTGCTCTCCTATTGGTCCTTTCCTATGGCGCAGTTTCCTGAATGAAAAAATTACATTGCAGCGAGAAATGGGTGTTCTATTCTGTATTTAGCGTTTGAGTCGTCAAAGAACTTTGAACAGCAGTTCTATTCGCTCCTTTTGATGCGAACAACAGCCCCTGCATGCGCTTTAGAGTATTGAAACTTGAGGAGGTAAATCAGATCTATGTGAAATATCGCATCATTGTATTGCTTATTTATCGCAGTAAATCTTCTACAAGATGCCCGAAAACCTCGCGTCTCGTAATGTTTCCTAAAATAACAATAAAACAAAGAAAACACTCGCTCCACTCAAGCAATACAGTTTCAGAGGTGGCATATGCGGCCGCATAGCCCAGTAATTGGGACTTCAAGATTTCTTTCGCAACAATACATAATTAGCCGTTGTGACCATAGACGATTACCACGTACCTCAGAGTTTTTTTTTATGGATAGTGCACATCACAACGACATCCCTTGACTGTCGTGTAGATCTGCTCACTACGAGGACAATTACGGAGACACCTAAGTCTCATTACGCGCATTGAACGCCAAGGTTCGCCAGGTCTGGGCGTGGCAACTGCACCGACGTGGTCACGCCGATGTATGCCGATCCTACACGGTTGTGATGTTTGGCAAGCAGTCAAGCAAACAGACATGACATTGCGAAACGGAAGCGTGAATCTCACCCGGCGTCATACCCTGTGCATTTCACAATGAATAACTGGTTCGAAGCTTCTAATCCATTAAAAAAAACTGAGCTACATAATTCACCATCAATAACATCGTCATCAGCCGCTGTATCTAATAAGATTACAATTACTCACGTGACCTCTCAAGATCCGATGACAATGATAATGATAAAACAGCCACACCTGAGGGCCTTCGTGCAGTCTTAAGTGATTGCATAAGGGACCCTGTGAGTTATGTCTTCTAAACACCCTTGGTCAAAAGAATATTTTTGAGGACATTTGATAGCACTTGTGTGGATAAGGCGTAGAAAACAAAGGACCAAACGCTCCGCTCTTTCTTTCTTTTTCAAGATGGTTACACTTTACTTGTCGCAGTACCCCGCACGCAGAAAAATAGCGAAAAACGTGACGAAAAGCGCAAGCATTCGCCGCAAGTTGAGGTGGTACAAGCGTCATTTTGCGTCCTGCACGTCGTCCTTTTCAACGTGCTTTCGAAAGAGCACTCGCTGAGCGTGGTCAGGCGCCTCAATTCCTGCATTCGGGGGACCTGACGAGAGCAACCGGAAGTGACGGTCCGGAAGCGTGCTGTAGCGAACCAAGTCTACTTCCGTCCGATGCTGCCTCCTTTCCGAACGCCTCCCTGCGTTAGCTTAAGAAAAAGAGAGAGAGAGAGAGATTTAACTTACTATTGTCACTCTGGGGGTCAAGAAAGGCAGTGGCCAAGAGGCCATAGCTCTACCGGATCCCCCCATTTACTCATTGTGCAGCCAGACTGAGTCTATAGGTGAAGTCTTCGGCCAGCATTAAGAACACTACATGTACTGTAACTCTGTTACATTTTTTGCGGCGCCTCTAGACTGTATTACTGGCACATTTTGTCAACTTATATTAGGCAGTCTAACGTAATTAAGCTGAGGTATTAAGGGCCAAGAATAAGATTCCATCGTGAGGCACGCTGTTGTGAAACGCTTTGAAAATTTCGGCCTTGTAGTGTTTTTTTTATCATTCTCCATGGTTTGCGAATGCTAAACTGTGAAGAGCCATAAGAAGAAAGAGGGCATGGGGTGAAGACCAAAAGATAGAAGAATAATATGTGCACGCGACTTTTGCCTTGTTTGTAAGTTACTTCTAAAGGTGTTCACCGACAAAGGAGAAATTGACCTCACGCGACATGACCAAGCCAGTACGAGGCAGTCAGCCCACTGGTCTGGTTATCTGTTTCCGCTGCTGTTCCTCTCACCCATGCCGAAAAGAAACAGTTTCAACAGTGCGCCGATGCGACAGTGGACACTTGACTGCCTGTTCTAGAGAATAAAAGTCTAGACCATCTTCTGTGAACCTTGCAGCAAGAAAGGACGATCCCACGGATATGTTCATCTGACGGCGCCTTTGTACTATGATAAACAATTACATTTCTATTTTGCTTTCCCTTCATTACAGGCCACACACGTGTTTGTTTAGAAATGATTTACTTGTAAGTAAAAATTTATACTACCTGCCTTTAGGACGCTGGAGACATAAAACCTGTTTCTGCCTGCCTCTTTTTGGCGCCTAAGCCGCGCTTTCGCAATGAATGAAAATCCGCCCTCTAGTAATGGTAGCGAAAAACAGGTGGAAGGCCAAGCGCCGCGTAGAAAACTTCGCAACATCGCATGTAGATGGCGCGGAGCGTCCAGAGACTGGCGCAAAAGCAGACTACCCGCACGATTTGCAGGGGTCAGTTGGGACGTTTCCTAGGCTGCAATACAGTGGGTTACTTTCTTGTTGCAATATTGAGCGCATACTTTATTTCTTTGCGTAAAAATTTGTTCGAAAACTTTACACCACCCGTTCTCACAATTTTCAAAAAACAATCAAGTAAATTGTGAGACTCACTGGCAAACGTTTGTGTAGCTGTGACGCGAAGTAAAAGTTGGTAGCTGAGTTATCTAGGCTAATCAGGCTTAATCTCCATGTGCAGAAAACTGTAGTTTCAAATTTTGATAATTTTCCTGGAAACAACTATTTGATTATCTTTGTTAGTATTGACTTTTTCTCAATAGTTATGCTTATAAAAACTTCCTGCTTCGTCGGCGGAGTGCACTTTGTACTGAATTAAAAAAACACGCTGTCATTATAATAAATACATGTTATGACACCAGCTGGCAAAGGACACTTGTACCACGCATTACTGGTGCAGTATTTTTGTCGTATTGTGAGGATTGTGTAGAGGAGGCTTGTGTTGGTAAAAAACGTTACTTTCACTGAACGTTCAACCAGAAGAAGTTAATTTTACTCCTTTCACAAGGAGACGCGTGGATGTGTGGTACAACATCTGCATGGCACGCAAACGACCCGCGTTCGATTCTCACTTTGCCCCAGGATTGTTTTATCATTTATTTCTCGTCACGCCTACTATGAGCTGCCTCTTATCGTATTTCCTTTCTGCACGAAATTGCAGCGAAAGAACGTACGAAGCAGTGTACGCCTGTGGAAACTTACTTTTCGTTGAATAGGTCGCGCAGAAACAATGTTCCTGCAAGTTAATATAAACCTTATTCGATTGCATTAGGCGAGATATTGCATTATCTGTTTCTCTATTTTTATCTTTTTCAACGGGAAGTAATCAGTGAATTCTCAGTGCTAACCAGATGGAACCTTTCATGCCTGTGCTATGGCTGACTGCCGAGTTAGTTCTTCGGTATTTCAAAACAAAAATGTATGTATGCATGTATGTATGTATGTATGTATGTATGTATGTATGTATGTATGTACGTATGTATGTATGTATGAAATACCATATTGTGACGCATACTTGGTTTGAAGCAATCATCTCGGTTTTATTACCCCACATTGTGAAATAAGGTTGTGCGAATAAATCTAAAGATGAGACCTTGATAATTCTATACAAGAACCGATTCACTGCGTGCTCTCAGGCTTTTTGCACGAATTGAATTCTATTGCCTATCCTTCTTACACTGTTGCACAATGCCTAGGGGGCCGAGATTGATAAATGATATCAAAAAAAGTTGCTTCGGTGTAATATACGTGTTCTGGCACGGCATCTCGTAGGAGTTTCGTGAGGCAGGCACATTTAGCACACTCTTCCATTATTTCACGCGTGTGCCCTGTAGGACAGGTAGATGCCACGACTCACCTGTCACCGCGAAAACAGTTGCAATCAACAGGGTGAAGAGCACCACGCTGACGATCACCAGCGCACCGTACAAAAATGTGCTCACAAACGGCTGCTCTCTGAAAAGTGAAAAAAAAAAAAAGATCAAGAATTTTCAAGCACAGACAATAAATATGAGCGAAAGATGGGAACTGCAACAAGACATCACTCATGAGCAACAATGGAAACGCGCGTGCGATTAGAAAGTCTGAGGATTGACGTCATAAGATTACAATGCTTGCGAACCAAGTAGCCAGTACGAATTCGCTGTAGTGGCTGGGCGGATACCTGGACCTGCTGTTGATGATGATTGATTGATATATGGCGTTTAACATCCCAAAACCACGATATCATTCTGTGAGACGCCGTAGTGGAGGGCTGTAAATATTTCTACCTCCTGGGGTTCTTTAACGTGTACCCATGTCTGAGCACATGGGCCTACAGCAGTTTCGCCTCCATAGATAATGTAGACGCTGCAACAGGGATTCGACCCCGCGAGCTGCAGGTCAGAAGCCGAGTACCTTTGCCACTGCACGATCACGGCTGGGCTGTCTTGCTGTTGAGCAGAAGCGGGCTCTGAACGGCTATTCTAGGCCTCACGTCATGAAAACGAAACACCAAAGACTTAAAAAAAATTTGGGCAGCTACGCACCAATAGTGTGAATACTGAGAAAAGAGTGGATCTGGTGGCTTTCCCTTCCTCCTTTCTTTACCCCTCACCTTTACTTCCCTTTCCAACTTTTTGCTATTCTATACATTGCTGCGCTCCTCACCATTTTATAGATGGCTATGCAATCATTTGACCTCTTCCATCCTTGTTTTTCACGTCTCCCTTACATCAGTCATGTCCCTTACTTCCCTTTCGCAGTCCCTTGCTACACTAAACCCTACGAGGATCTTATTCGTTGTACCTAGATCCTCTTTTCCACCTTTTTACCTACTTTAGTATACACGGCCATTCTATCCTTTACCATCTTCCCATCCTCCTCACCCTTACATCACCCCTCCTCATCCTCAGTTCACCCTCAGTTCTCCTTGCCATCTCCTTCCCATGCTTGACCATTCTACAGGACACTGTGCCATGCTTTAACACCCTCCTCCTTGTTTCCTTCCTTCTCACCCTAACCTCTCATCTCTCCCCCTCAATGCGAGATTCTATGCACGGCTCTGCTATTCTGGGAGCTTGTTTAATTAGTTGTTTTGCGAACACAAAGCATACGAGGACCAGCTCAAACACTTCCGGGATAAAATGCTGGCCCGCTTAACTAGACACAGTGTACCTCTGCTTCTCAAAGTTAGGTGATGGCCCTCCATTCAGGGACGCCTCTTATGACCATATCGTTGCTTTGGAACGTTCGATCACTTAAGTCAATCAAACTTATCGTTAATAAGAAATAGAGCTACAAGTACCAATAACACGAGTATGCAGCCTAAGTAATCCAGCGTCCGACTTTGTTCTTGCGTTCAATATAATGCCATTGATGACTTAGATGTCAATCGAAAAGTGACCACTCTGTGACATAAACGATACTGATACTCAGTTGTGGCTGCGGTTGCGACTGAGGTGCACGGCGAGTTGGTGGTAAATGTTCCGGAATGAAAACGTGAAACATGTCTTGAACGTAGAGTGAGCTGTGACGCAGAACGGTGAGCTGACACCATAGGATGCCTTGTGCGTTTGAGTGTGTACTCTAGCAATACTTCAGGGCTTTCACAGATTCCTTCTGACATGACTATTCGTGAAGCTATTGTTTCAACATTTAGATGCGAAGCAGCTTATGGGTATGTCGGAGTTCAATCTGGTGGTGTGAGGCGTGAACACCCTTATTGAGCATACAAAACAGCTTGCCCAAGCACTGCCAGAACACGCTCAGCACTAACGCACTCAGGCATGCGTAAGTGCCTGGGTAAAAGGCTGTGTCCGGTCACTCTTACGCCCTCTCAGCAATCACGTGATGGCGTGGGGTAACGAGACGTGCGATAAACACGTGTGGCGTGCTCCAACAAGGGTTCGAGACGAGTAACAGCAACATAAACTACAGTGAATTTATGGTGTGCCTCAGATGCAAGAACGCGCTAACATCGAGCAAGGTGCCAGTTATCAAGAGAACTTCAAGTCGACCCATGCACTCACTGCTTTGCATGCTAGTCATGGTTCCTTCTAGTGAGAGATGGTGCGATTTTCTTTTCTTCTTCCGTTTGTCCCGTGGGTGACCCTTGGTAGAATGAGAGAGAGCTGGGCTTCTTGATAAGTAGTCATTTTGAAAGAAAGGGCGTACAAATTGATTGACGGTTTCGCCAATCGTCTGGGCACGCGCAGATAAGTTATCACACATTCTTTATCGCCGTCTTTGTGCATCTTTGCAGCTGTTACTCAGCTTTTGTAGTATCCTGAGTTCATTTTCGAGCCCGTGTTTGAACTCCCAGTTTTTTTTTTAATTTGTTTTATTTGTGTGTCAGATTTTTTTCTCTGCGTAATTCTACAAGAAAGAAGTAAAAAAATTAAAAAAGAATGCCTGGGATACTCACTGCTGGCCGGAGGTTGGCGCTAGAAATAAGAGAACACAATATGAGAATATGAGGTAAAGAAGCCTATATTGCTTGCTCGCAGGGGCGGCGTGAGCGCGGGCCATGGGCGTAGCTAGGGCATCCCTAACATTTTCGTCCATCCCTCATTGGCCCACACAAGAACAAAAATCATCAAAACAAAACGCATAAATTCACCGCCTCCCTGTCCCCTGAAGGAGCCCGCATAACGTGGGTGCGACATCACCCTTCCGCCAAATAATTCCTGGTGCCGCTCCTGCTCGCATGGCAAAAAGAAAACAGAAACGCTCTAGGTATTCGCTAGACCGTATTGTCATGAACATTACAGCCAAAAATCATTTTCATTGACCTCAAGTTACCCCAACTTTATTGTTCCTGTGCTTATTCTGTTAAAACGTTGAATGGCCGTTTAACAGATTTTGTTAGAAAATATGGCTAACCACTGGTTTTTGTAGAAGTGAAAGCAGCTAAAGAAACTCAATCATTCATTTCTCTTCCTATCATGTTATTCCGGCTATCCCAAACATTTCATTTCCTTTGGCAATTACGGGGAGAAATTGCCTTTTAGTTTATATTAGGGCTGTAATTCTCAAAACCCTAATATCGTAAAAGAGTTGTAAAATTGGTCAGTCAGCTTCGGTATTGACATATCCCTCACCATGATTGGCTGAAATGTCGGTAATTTTTGTCTTCTTTCTTTATTCAGTGTTAAGCTGACAACTTGCCCATGTGTCAGAGCTTCCACAAGGCAGTGAAGATTGCCGCAGCGTTTCTCCCTTACGAGCACTGAAGGCTTGTCATTTCCCGCTCGTAGTAAAAAGGTAACCATTATCATATTTTATTATGCATTCGACCCGATGCCAGATAAACACCGCACGCAATCGCTGCAATACATTGGACAGGAGCTGTGTGCCAGAGCTCCCTGTCTTGTACGCGTAATCGTGCAAACCACAATCAAGCTTTGCAGCGGTATTTCTTTGAGCACAAACACGCAAGAAAAATTTTTGCGAGCGAAAAAGTGTAGAAATAGGACAGCTTGCAACTTTTCAATGCAAACATGGATACTTGCTGCAGTCTCTGAAAAGTTCATTAAATATTAGGCGACTCAAAGCAGTAATGATTGCCTCACTTTTTGGTTCATCTGACTTAAAACACATCTGCAAAGGTGGTTTGGACGTACCTCTCAGTGGTGAATTTTGAGATAACCATCAAGCTATATTTTGAGGACAAGTATTACGCTATTAAATGTAGATGACACCTTACCACGGACCACACGGTAGCGCCCCAAGAAAGGAGGATTGTAGGGTTGAATCAGGGGAGGACGGGGCATCAGCGGAGGAGGGGGAGGGGGATAGTAGGAAGGGGCGTAGTAGCCCTGCATCGGTGCAGGGTAGATCTGCACTGGTGGAGGCACGTAGTAGCCCTGCGTCGGTGGAGGGGGCCTGTAGTAGGACAGGCCGTACGGGCTCACCGGGGGAGGAGGTGAAAGGTAGTCCGCAAATCCGCTCTCATCTTGCGAAGGAAGCCACACCACTGACAGTTAGTCTCTCGGTGGTCGACTAAGAGAGTCGAAATAGATGCGTATCACATTGACACGGCGATGACACCGAGTACAACGAAACAGAGCTATGGGTAGGTTGTACCGAAAACTTTGAGGTTTAGAGCAATGAAACAACGCATAGACAACGTAAGACACGAGCAAAGCCCAAATTATAAGTGATATGCAGCTTGTTATTGCGAAAACAATATATGCCCAATAAAGTGCCAACTCCGGTGTCGGTCTCGAAAGCGGCGTTACCACCCGATGGCACGAAAATTCACGTGATCAAGCATTGACAAATATATTGAACCCAGTGCTACTGAAACACATACCACCATCATTGCCAAATCGGGCCTACATTGAACTTATACAATGTTCATCAGTGGAGTTGATGAGAACAATTTCGTGGCGACTTGCTTTATTATAGGTTAATTAAAAATGGTCGCATGCCTCACAAATGTCTTATCGTGAATTTACTATCCTCTATATGTACACAGTTTCTCCGTACTAAACCTATACCGACTTCACTGTGCACAACGATTAGTTCATCCACACTAAGACTGGGAAATGATGCTACTTCTCGATTTATCTCAACAATGGCTCTGATTCAATCACTGTGATATGCTTTGTCTAAAATTGCCAATACGAAAAAAGAAAGCTTACCTGGCAAAGGTTTGTCGGGTGGATGAGGTCCTAAAAAATAAATTGCAATAGAAGAGCAGAATCATGAACACAAGCAGCTTAGGTTCCCACAAAATGTCTCTATTACAAATTGCATAATAATTTGTGGAGTTCAGGCCGCTCGAGAGTCTGTGTACAGTTGTTAGGCAAGCGTTTTTGAAAAGCTCATCAAAGATTGAAACAGGAAGAAAAGGAGGGAAATGTTTTTTTTTTTTAAAAGAGACTTAGTTATCTTTTGGAGCCAAACCCACCAAAAAAAAAAAAACAACTTCTTCAAAACAACGATAGTTTCGAATGACGCTTTCGGGTTCAGCGAAAAATAAGGAGTAGCGACAAAACTGCAGCGCCACTTTTGTTGGAGCATAAAAAAATGCAGCATAGTATTCATAAAGATCACAGCGAGAAGGTTTGTTTAGCTGAGAGAGAAAATGGTGATCACAAACTAAAAATAACCACCACGTATTTACAGCAAATATTTGGCACCGTGAAGGAGTGAACATTCATGATCTCATTGAGCGACATCTTGATTTGCCATGATCTGCTGCATAGATACTATTGTATATTTCATATATGCCATATGCCTTAGATACACAACGTTGCGCCTGCAAAAATTGTAACAGTACTTACGAAGAGAAGCCTGGTACTCTTCGCTGAATTCCGCTGAAAACATAAAAAGAACGCTGAAAGTATATCGTTCTGAGCCGCTAAAGCGGCACAATCTGCGAACATTTAGTATCCGCGTTCACTGGAAAGCCTCACTGATAGGCATTCGTGAGCATTTTTGCATTAAAGGCAGTCCAGAAGGCTCATAAGGCTGTCCACAGTATATTAAAATTACATATCATTGCGATTCGTCTCACACAAAGATTCACACACTACGGGCTCAAGTGTCGCAGAGCAACGATGGATGAAATGAAATCAAGCATAAAGAATGGAAATGCGACAGGCTTCGTCAACCAGCAAAATACCGGGTGACAATAACAGATAGAGCTACCAGTGGGGCCATGTTTCGCGAGTCTCGAGGCGAGTCCAAACCATTCCCACAATATTCTTATTCATATTTTTTAAAATAAGGACCTCCAGCTTCAAGACAGGGCAGTCATTGGGTGGACTTGAAAACGTGCTACAGTTCAAGTCAGAAATGACCAAAAGTAGCCATGTCCCATAATATTATTGTCACACTTTTAGCCAAGTAGAACGGCGTTTTGGACAAAGGGTTTACTATTGATGAATAAATAAATCTAGGTCGAATAAGTAAAACCCGAAGTTCAAACGTAGAAACAAAATAGCCATGGCAGCAAGTAAAAGTTTTCATCCTCCAAACTGGCAGAAAAGCCGCCAGTTTGGCTGTAGCCACCAACGAAGATGCTGCTCTAAGAGCTGCGGTTGTAAATGTGCAGTATTTAAAACATATGCGTGATAATAGAAATGGTGAGTGTGATTGCGGACATTTGCGGCCTGGTTCTTGTACTGCCTGCTCGAGTTTTCAGTGGAGCATGGTATCTCACCAAGACAATGAAAGCTTCATAGGTATTACACTGAGCTGATGAAGTGTTAACAAAATTGCATGAATATGAAAGTTGCTTCAAGGTGCACTCACAGTGCAAAAATTTGGGGAAACAATTTAAAACTTGGCAGTACACAAGGGCAAAAAAGGACAGCTGAGCTGCCATCTTTCATGCGGCCTGCGCTTCATTGGATTCAGTGTGGTTTACTCTCATTTTGCAAACACGAACCAAGTAGCCCAAGCATCAACCCTAGCAGCCACACAGCAGAAAGCTTAAATAAATGGATACTTGCCCATCGTTCTCTCTCAACCAGTTAGTTGGGTGGCCCTCGAATGCCTGGCGCCTAAGAAATGAAGGCAGCTCACAATGGTCTTCGTTTTCCTCCTTATTTGTTACTATTTTCCGAGCATGGTTAGTGACCGTTGTCGACGATGATGATGACGACACAGTTCCCGGTGCACAACCACTAAGAGTGAATGGGCAAATAATTGGTGTTCGTTCATAGATGCACCACCCGTGGTATATAGCCTAATCATCATAGCAAGAACAGTCGCTAAAAGAAAGAATACATGCTCTCTCATCGAACACTTTCGGTGAGTGAGCACTGCGACGGACTTCAGTTTATTGAACAACCCTGTACCGTCTGTTACATTTTGCATGAGTCATGATGTAGCCCCCCCCCCCCTCTCATAAGGGTCAAAATGTATCTCGGAGAGGCGTGCGCTCTTTTACATTAAATTTGTTCAGACTGACGGTGATATATATGGTTTGAAAAGATGATTTACGCCGACCCAAATCAAGAACTTTTCATATATAGCACAGAATGATTTTCTTTCAGTATGATCTAGAGAGGAAGTTTAACGGGCACTGATCCTCATGTGGACAACAGTACGGATGCCATGATACCTGTGTTGGCTAGCTTCAAGTGGTACTTTGACTTATGCTTGGTGTTACAAAAGGGACACAGGGATAGCACAACCGTCGTGTGCAGTGTCTTATGCAAGTCCCACACTCCTTCGGAATTCTTGCCTTCCTCATTGGTTTACGTTCTTCTCCTTCGTGGACTCCGAACTGAACTGTCAAGTTTCGCCTGGCCCGTCCGGCTTGCGGGAGACAGCTCCGCCTCTGAATACTGCTACTCTGCATTCCTACCTTCATGTAGCCACAGCTACTTGTGTACCTAAATGCCTATCAAGTCACTGAATCCCCGTTAACAAAAGCACAATGTTTTATCGGCCACTTGAATAAGTAATAAAAGAACACCTGGTTGCGCACGCACAGATGTGTTTCGTGCACATGTTCTAAAACCTAGAAATTTCGTCGTTCACTCAGACTGTGCTTTTTAACAGTAGTTTGCTTAACTGCAGCGCACCTCTATAAGATTCGAAGAGCCAAGCGTGAAAAAAAATCACCACCCAAGCACTACGTGCAAATGGTTAACCGGCGAAAACTGAATCGTCCGGCCCTGGCATTGAGCTTACTGACATTGAGCAGTGGGTTAAACCCGATGCTGCACTGAAGCATTTCACAGGGTGTGTTACAATACTCACCGTAGACGGTTAGACAGCTAAATGGAAGGTGGCCATCTTAAGTACCATTTTAATTCTCACGTAGCCGGCAAAGTAGACAGCTCCGAGAAGACCGCATCGTAGACAAATACGATGCAGGCCACTTTGCTATCTAAACAAGATGGCGACTCCGCGAATCGCTCAGATAGACCGGGTATTGCCAGAATGGTCGTCTGCACACAAGCCGACGCTTATCCAGACTCTCAATGTACGTAAAGTTAATTTTTTTCTGATTTCAACACGAAATGAGCCAGAAAATACAACTTTTGCGATTGTTTATTTTGGCCTTTTCTTTTCAACGCGAGGTGACGCATCGTCGCGTAAAAGCCGTTCAGAAGTGTTCCGATTCTCGCTTACCACGGGCTCGGTGCCGTCTTCTAAGCAGTTTGTTCAGACCGTCAAAAAGCTGTCTAGAAATCGGAACAGAGCCACAGCTATTGGTTACATATCCGTGCTTCTTAATGAGTTTAGACCCACGTCTTACTTCGGTATACCGCAGAGTTTATTTACGACGCCGCACACTGTGTTTCACATTACCCTGGTCATAGAAGAATGTAGTGATTGGTTAAATGCATTTCGCAATGCTTTAGTCACGCTGGCTCTTCTCGAAACACAGGCAGTCACAGACGTCGCAGCCGAAGCCGCTGGAGAAACTGCCGTAGAAACCGGGTGTTTGCGCCGCAGAACCTGCAGTCATCACGTTGGCGCTATTCTGGATGCAACGCCGCTTGTTCAGCGCGCTTTTGCAAGTGATTGATATTGTGACCTAACTCGGCGGCATGGTTTGCAGGATTCGCCCGCCCCCAGCGCGTGTATTCCAGTTTGTATTTTGCGTGACTTTGAAGGTTGACGGATCATCGGCACGCAGTTGCTGCCCTCCCGGGCCTGTTTTTGTGCCTGGTCCGGCGAATGCGACGGACGGACGGACGGATGGACGGACGGACGGACGTTAAAAAGGCGATCACAAGAGCACCCAGAACTAGGTGACCGGAGAGATAGATAGATAGATAGATATAGATACATATAGATAGATATAGATAGATATAGATATAGATAGATATAGATAGATATAGATAGATAGATAGATAGATAGATAGATAGATAGATAGATAGATAGATAGATAGATAGATAGATAGATAGATAGATAGATAGATAGATAGATAGATAGATAGATAGATAGATAGATAGATAGAAATGCTGAGGTGCCTAGAGTACGCATAGGAATATTTATTAAACAGACCTGCGCAGCCGCATACTTCGCTGTTGCTGTTTCTGATAGTGATAAATAAAGATGCCTTTTTGCTTTGTAATTAGAGAGTTTAAAAACACACCTTTGTTGTGCAAATGACCTGGCACAACACCTGGTGCAATTCTGTGCCTGAAATTAACATATCTTAAGGTGAAAAGCAAAATGCCTAGTTTTTATTTCTAGTCGAACGTCCCAAGCTTGCATTTTCTACCAATCGCAATTTGTCAGTCATGAACACCACTTTTTTTTTGCACTAAACCATTACGTCTGACGCCGACATTGGCAATAATACTACACTAGCTTGAACGTTTCTACGCTAATAAAGAGGTCCTTCCCCATTCACCACCGTAGCTACGAGTCGCGCTTGCTGACACTCACAGGATAACAAAACTCGGAAACATCGAATTAATAGGGCATGTGCTTGGGGTGTTCAATAAGGGAATCAGATTGGCATATGGGTAATGGAACTCCTAATTTTAAGGAATAAATTTTGGCCCCCACAGATGTTAGCGTTACTTTTTGTTTGATGCAAATGCCTTTCTAAATGTACGAAAAATTCTGTTCCTGCAATGAAAACCTAAAAGCCCTCCGATTACCTCGGCTTCATTTCTTTGTTCTGTTAGGTTGTACGTAACATGTCCTACGGCCAGGACATAGCGACAATGTTGTTTGTGGGAAGAAGGGTGTAAACGGTTCCACATGTAAGTTCAGTCTGAGCTTCTGCTCCTTTATAAACATGCATAATAAAAAATTGTTAAGGGGTAAAGTTGTGCAAGCCCCCCTTTCCTGCCGCTAAGGCGTGTTCTCATGGGTGGTATACAAGTATTTAAAAGCACCGAATTTCTTAGGTTCATTTTGGCATAATGAAAGTATTCAGTGTTTGCCTGCCTGCGAATATTGTTTTTTGTAGTTAAGGGGACTTAGGAGGCTACCCACATGTGGGTTCAAGTCTGGTTGAATAATAAATTGTACATCTCTCCCTCTTTCTTTCATAGATATGCACAAGAGACAATATTGTTGGCGAGTTCAGCAAATATGTGCTAATAACGTCAATTGGCTAGGCTCATTTAGCTAAAAATTATTAATTTGTAGCGACGCCGTTATATAGTATCTGCAGAAAGCAATTTATTTTAAGGTTGTGTGCTCGGTCAACATTAGCGGAGAGTGGATCTCCCGTGAACAATATTTAGCTTTTTTATGTCCTAATTACTGCTTCTCAACTAACAACCTAATATTGTTTCGTATGCAGTCCTTGACTTCGCTTTAAGATGGCCTCCATAGGTTATGTTTCGGGTAAGAATATTCCTCTCCCAATATAGACGAGTTTCGGTAAACTTTTTATTCCGTTTGGACATTGCTTTGATTGACATGTGGCGTTTAATGTCGCAAAACCATCATATGAATATGAGAGACACCATAGTGGAAAGCTCCAGAAATTTCAACCACCTTCATGGGGTTCTTTAACGCGCGCCCAAATCTGAGCCCACGGGCCTACATCATTTTATCCTCCATCTAAAATGCAGTCGCCGCAGCAGGGTTTCGATCCAATGACCTGCAGAATCTGTTTCGAAATTGCTAACAACGAAAATGTGACGATTTCATACTCACATCAACAGTTTTTTCCGACACCCAAAACATCATTCTCATGTACTGAAACTTCCGGGCATATTGAAGACGAAAGTCTTTCTTGGGGCATTTGAACGGCGAAACTTCGGTCTGGCCGCCTGCCTGCCCCGCGAAACAATTCGGCCGCCCGGCAAACGTTTAACCACTTACTCGACGCCTTGCCGTCTTGAACTTGTGGCTGTGTTCATACTTGTGAATATTGTCGATCAAAAACCATATATTACGCATATTTGTGCACATCAGCAAAGCTCAAGTGTTATATGGTGTGCACTTTTACTAGAAAATACATAGGTACGTAATTTTACAGACGTTTGTGTTCTTTAGGCTGTGGTACAAATACGACGCTACGCTGAAAAAAAGGGTGGCAGGAGACTATCGTCTTTTGACGACATTTGCAGCAAAGCACCGAAATACGCGGCATACTTTTACGTATAAAATTAGCTTTCATTTATCAAAATTCTACAATATACCAGCTGAAAGCAACGACGTAGAAAGCATCGAATGCCCCTTGTAGCGAAAAGGCGCAGCCAGTCAGCTATTGGGGTGGATGTTCCCGCTCTTCTCTCGCTGCTCGAGAACTACCGGAGCCTTGCTCTGAGCAGAGACCATCGTCGTGGCATCCTCGGCCTTACGGCGAATGGTGGGGCCATTGTCGTCATCCCGACTTGTGGCGAAGCCCTCATCGTCCCCCTGCGTCTTCTCATTCCGGGCCACTGAGCGCTTTTCTGGAAATATCAACTGCATATGAAAAACTAACAAACCTCCGCTTCACAGACACTGATCAAGTAGAGAAGTTGTATGAAATTGTATTTCTAGGTTTCGCAAGTCTCTCAGATAGATCTTATGAGTTATCTTTATTGAAAACGCAATAAGTTGAGCGTTGAGGCGGTATAATTGCGTACAACTTTCTTTTACCATCAAGTGAAGGCTATAGACATAATTACGTGTACCCTTCCGCGAGTAAGTCTGGTTCCAGAATTTCGTGCGTATTCTCTATGCGAGACAAAGAAACTACTCCTCTGCTTTCTACAGGCATTCTCTCAGACAGAATGCAGCACACCAGACAATGAGATATATATATTTATTTAAAGTTTACACAATATCACTTGGCGTTTTTGGACACCTGAGAAAGTATCGCCTTCAACTGCGTACGTGTCCCTCAAACTCTGAGTGGCATCTCCGTCGAAATGCAACGCTTATCTGCGTGAAGTGAGGACCACTTTCCACACCGATGCGAGATGCGTGCCTAACGGGAATGTATTTTACGTAAGCGTGCATGCGCATAAGCACTGCCTCCGCAGCTTTCCCTTAGTTGCTCGAAGGCCTTACTTCCTCCAGAGCTAAAAACAACTTGAAAACCAATGACGTCCCACACGTGGTCTTCGCAATAAGAATCTTGAAGGGTATGGTTTTGTTCGCTGGCAACAGTAAGTACATTATGCATGTTGCTTGCAACACTCGTGTGATTGATCCTACAGCCAAGCAAGGCCATGCTGCGTGAACAGGCCACATGATCACCCATTTTCATGGTCTTTTGCCTGGAATGGAGCGCATATTACGGCGTATCATACGGCAACCTTCTTGAGATTGTTCCCAACAACAGGGCTCCCAATACACTAGGTCCTATGAATACTGCGCCCAGATCAACGAAAGCGACGTAGCAGCCGGAAAAGCGTAGCAGGGACGAACATACAAGCGGCCTTCTACTGTAATGGGACAGCGTGAGGTGCCCTTGGCCCCTGATGTACACTGCAGCAGTGAGTTGCGCAAAATAATAAAGAAAAGCGTTGTTAGAAGAAAAAAAAAGAAAAGCACATTGTTTGTGCAATACAATGAAGTACAATAAAAAACGTAATAGAACAACTACTGCAAAGATAATGCACACTCACATTAGGTACACTCAAAAGCATGTAATTAAATTACTGACCGTTCATATATTTGAACACGAGTACAAGGGTGGAAGAAATTACGCTCAAGTCAATGAGACCTACAGAGTTCAAATGATTGACCATGGTTCAGACTTAGCTATATTTTTATTATCAATGCCGGTGTCATAAAAAGAAATATTCAGCGTCGGCAATATGTTTTCATTTACTTACAAGCTATAACTCGTTATTAAAAAACGTCTGACGCAAAGTTCTTTATTAAAAGTGGCATACCTAGTGGTGTTAATTGGTAGATGACCGATTTTATTAAACCTGCTTGCCTAACAGAGCCAAATAGCCACCTTAGTGAGAAAACATTGCAAATCTAGCAACACTCACTGAAAATTTACTGCTAGGACTTCAGTGCTAGAGACTACTCATACAGGGGTACTGACATGATTTTCAAGGATCCTAAAAGGGACATTCTTCGATTCCAAGGTGTGAACTATCAACACTTTCCACACCCCGCAGTGAGATAACAAGTATTATTATTATAGTTTATTTAAGGTTTTCACCATCCAGCACCTAAAAGCGAGTGTCCACTCTGTGGACGTTGCCACGACCCGTTAGCACAATTCACCGAGTTAGCGTAATCTGTGTCCGGCATGCACTCTAAATCACAGAAATTTGCTTTGAGAGTCCAAAGCCTTTGAATGACAATTCACTCGCCATTGCTTACACTTGCGACTGACAGGGAACTGACAGCTGTTGTTAGTACGTCGCGACTTCCTTCTCCTGGTGACGTCACACTTGTGTTGACACGACGCTGTGAAGCCACTACTTGTTCCCGCAGCGAAATTGCTGTTTTAAGGTGGCGGCATCAAAAATATAATGAATTCATTTCCAAGCACTGCGAAACTCTTCTTTAGGGTTCTCAACACTTGTGTTTTTAATTC